CTCCGCCCCGGCCCAGCTTCGGCTTCTCCGCCTCTAGCTCCAGCTCTAGCTCCCTCGCCGGGTCCAGCCCGAGCGGCGATGGGCTGATGCCTGGCTGAGCCGGTCGCTGCCATTTATAGGCACCAACGAGCAGCCGGCGTAAGCGGGCTAGAGGGACCTGTCAGCGTCGGCGCAGCGCAGCGACCCCTTGTCGCCGACGGAAGGAAGTACTCCGTAGGAAGAGAGAGTCAGAGGTGGCACACACGAAAAAGTCGCGAATCTGCAGAGATTCTATCTAACAGGAGTAAAATGCTTTACTATTTACAAAGCGCTTTCACATCCCCACCCGCAGTCTCATAAGGCTTCCCATTAGTCTTGTGAAAGATATATTATTATATATTTAGTTACCATGTGACCTTGAGCAAGTTACTTAACCTCCCAGTTCCACACTTTTCCACCTGCAAAGTGGAAATGGTAGTAATACCTATCAGAAGGATAGTGGGATGATTAAATGAGAGAATCTGTGTAAAGTGTTTAGAATAGAGCCCGGCACATAGAACTATTATTATAGTTTCAGTTTTGCACATGAGGAAATGGGTGAAGAGAGTTCCTTAACTAGTACGTAAATAGTTATATTAGTTTGCTAGGGCTGCTGTAACAAAGTACCACCAACTAGGTGTCTTAAAAATAACAACCAGAAATGTATTGTCTCATATTCTGGAGTCTAGAGGTCTGAAACCAGGTGTTGGCAGATTTGGTTCCTGGCTATGAGGGAGAATGCTTTTCTCCTAGCTTCTGGTGGCTTGCTGACAGTCTTTGGTGTTCCTTGACTGTGGCAGCGTAACTCCTGTCTTCACATGGCAGCCTCCCTGTGCCACCGTCTCTGAGTCCAAATTTCCCCTTTTTATAAGTTCACCAGCCAGACTGGATTAGGGGCCCACCCTAATGAACTCATTTTAACTTGATCATCTGCAATAACAATATTTCCAAATAAGGCCACATTCATGGGTAATGGGGGTTTGAACTTCAACGTCTTTTGGGAAGACACAATTCAACCCACAGCAGTAGTGGAACTGAGATTTGAATGTATAGTGTTGGTTGGAATTGGTAAGATTCATGGCTGTACACTGGAATCACTGGAAAGTTTTTAAAAACTACCATTGCCACCCTGCCAGGCGTGTCTCCGCAGATGAGCATCAACGTGGGATCCAGGAGATCACGGTTTGATTCCAGGTCAGAGCATATGCCCAGGTTGCGGCCTCCATCCCCAGTCAGGCGCTTGCAGGAGGCAGCCTATCAATGATGACTCTCTCATCATTGATGTTTCTCTCTCTCTCTCTCTCCGTCTCCCTTCCTCTCTCTGAATCAATAAAGATATACTTAAAAACAAAACAAAACAAAAACTGCCATTGCCTGGGACCCACCTGCAGAGATTTGAACTCAGTTGCTCCAGGGACGTGCCCAAATATGATGGGTATTTTTTCAAAAGCTCCTCCAGGTGATTCTAATGTACAATTAGTGTTGAGAACTATTGAAATTACTGAATTGCCTTCCCTATTTTACAGAAGAGTTAATCAAGGCCAAGAAAGTCAAGGTGACTAGCTCCAAAGGGGTTCAGTCCAGTTTAGCAAATATTTACTGGGCTTCTTGACACAGCTTTGTGTTGGGCTCTGGCAACACAGAGATAAGACATGGGGAGGAGGGAAGTGGAAGTGATTGGGAGGGGGCACAAAGTGGGCACAATGAGGGCTTCTAGGATGCTGATAATGTCCTATTTCTTTTTTTCTTTTCTTTTTTTTAATATATCTTTATTGATTTCAGAGAGAGGAAAGGAGGGAGAGAGGGAGAGATAGAAACATCAATGATGAGAGAGTCATTGATCTGCTGCAGCCCGCAACCCAGGCATGTGCCCTGACCGGGAATCGAAACCCGATCGCCCGGATCCTAGGTCGACGCTCAACCGCTGAGCCACGCCCGGCCGGGCTGTACTATTTCTTTACTGGACAGTGGTAACAAAGGTTATACAGATGTAGTTGTTTTATGATAACTCATCGAACACTATATGCACTATATGATTTGTATTCTTAAGATATGCTATCCTTTCACGAAAAGGTATATTAAATTAATAGAGTGATGTGGTAGTGACTGAAGGTGCCAACATTAAACTGAATTCTCTGTACCTCATATTCTCCTGACACAGGCCCAGCCACTTGAGAGATGACAGAAGAGTCTAGAGGAACCTTCAGAGAAAGCCAAGGGCCTTGTGTCACCTGGGAACAGGTGAAAGGAGAACATCAGCTATACTGGAAATAATGAAAAAGAGGAACAGCACTTAGGGCAAGGATCAGAATAATGGTGATAATTCCTCACAATGGTTCAGTCGTTTATAGTTCACAACCAAATGCCCCAGGTTTATCAATGACCCAAGTCCTGGTGCATAGAGAGGGCTCAATAGATAGTAGCCATCTGGCCAAGGTCACACAACTATTAGGTAGCAGATCCAGAACTCAAGTCAGCTTTCTAACGTCTGAATCCAGAACTCTTTCAAAACACCACAGGTTTAATGTTGAAAAAGAAGAGAGGAACAGGGTGGGGCTAGGAGAGGAACTTTCCACAGATGACATGGGGCCAGAACCCTGAGACCTCTAGTCCTTTCCAGTCTTGACTTTTCCAGTCTTGAGGGCAATGTTCACTGTTGTGCTCCTGTCCTCCCTACATCCTGACTCTCTCTCACTCCATTCTCAGTGATTCCTTGGGAGGTAGCAGATCCAATGAAGGTCAGCCCTGAGATCCTCCATAGCCTGGAGAAGGTTGTAACATCATGACAGAACCAGAAAAGAGCCCTTGGGAGAAACTATCTGGGACAGCCCATGGCCAAGGTCCAGCCCAGACCAGGCAGTATAGCATAAGAGTTAAGTACAGGCGTGGCCTAATGTAGATAGCCATATTATCTAGGTTCAAATCCCAGCACCCTCACTTACTAGTTGCAAAACCTTAGGTAAAACAGTCTACCCCCCTGTTCCACAGTTTCTGCCTCCATAATGTGGGGGGCATGCCAATCTCATGGTGCTGTTATGAGGATTAGCCAATGCACTTAGAGCAGCACCCAGCAAATACCACATATGTTTACCTGATTATCTATCATGAATGTAATGTATGTCACTTCTATCAATGACAGGCAACCTCTATCATGTGTGTAATGTATTATTTTGACACTTTAGTACCAATGTCTTCACCTCACACTCCCTTTCAGTTGCTGCCAAAAACGTGAGAGAATTATCTTTAATGCCTGCATCATTTCTCTCCTCCAAGTCTCTCTAATCCAGTCCAATTAGGCTTTTATACCCATATACTGCACCTAATTTGCTCTTGTCAATGTCACTAACAACCTCCGTAGGGGAGGAAAAGTCTCTTCCTCCACCCATCTTAGGTTCTCCATCTGGGGCCCTTGCTATTGATTTTTCAGACACTCGGGGTTTACTGTTTCCTCAGAGCCTTTGACCTTGCTGTTCCCTCTGACAGGATTACCCCTAAGATATCTGGTTACCCCTAAGATATCTGCATGGTGTCTTGCTTTACTTCCTTAGGGATTTTGTTCAGATGTTATCTCTCAGTGAGGCCTTCCCTGACCCCCAAGCCCCTCTACGAGATGTAATACCCCCACCCCACACTTCCTTTTCTTTTCCTTCTTAATTTTTCTCCATAGCTCTCTCACTGCCTGACATACTACATATTTTTCTGACCTGCCTTGCCCACACTAGAATGTAAGCTCCACAACAGCAAGGATTCAAGGCAGAGAGCACAATGGTTGGCAGGACAGACTTAGGGGCAGGCTGCCTGGATTTGAATGCTGTCTACCACTGCCTAGCTGTGTGACCCTAGGCGACGTACTTAACTTCACTGCACCTCACTGTCTTCATCTATAAGATGGGGGTAATAAGAGAGTCTATGTCAAGATTACTATGAGGCTTAAATAAGATAATGCAGGTAGTGAAGTGCTTAGAATTATACCTGTTATAAAGTAAATGCTACATGTGCTTGCTATTATTATTATTACTGAATGCTTGACTCATAGTAAGTCCTATACAATTGTTAGTTTTTATTGTTCTGTATCCTGAAAGTATATCTGCTGTATCCTCAGAACTGAAGATAGCACTTGGCACATAATAAGTCATTCAAGAATGACCTGTTATATGAACGAATTAGGATACAGGTATACATAAACAATATATAGTATTTTTGAGTGTCGTTTAAATTTATATTAATGCCATATCATATACATCCTTCATATTTACTTTTTCACTAAATATTATATTTTTACATCTAGTCATGGTGATATATACAGATCTCATTTTTTCCTTCTAACTGCTCTATAGTAAATATTCCATCATATTAATATATCTCAATTTTAAAATCTCTTTCCCTATGGATAGACATTTGAGTTGTTTCAATTTTATGTTGTTGTAAACAGTACTATATCAAACGCCCTTATACATATCTCTTAGTGCACGTGTGTAAGAA